TCAAACTTTAAGCTTTAACAAAAATATATAAATAATAACAATATACAATTAGTGTCAATAGCGATTCGAATTGTGATTGATGACGGGCTGTTTATTATTCACAGTTTTATTTCAGAGAACAGTTAATGAGTGCAGCTACCTAAAAAGTAGACTTTTGAGAGACGTGCTTAACATCTGAATGCATCTGAGTTATTTTAAGTGAAATATATTACTGCCGGGGAATATTCGTAAACATAAATCGTAGATTCGTGTTGTTTTTTGTTTTTCTTTTTTTTTTTTTCGCTGCCCACTCATGAAAATTAATAGACCTATAAATATATAGCTCATATATTCATAGCATTTATGCCGCTGGCAATTTAAATGTCGACTCTTGAGCCACATAAATGCCAATTTAGGCATAAGAGTGCGTTATCTATAGTCCGATTTCAATTAAAAGTTCCGCCAGCGACGAAAACTCACAGCTAGATCTAATTGAAGAAGATAATAAAGCTGTCTAAATAAAGCTAAGCTTAAAGAAGAGACGTAAAAAAATATTTCAGCCTAAGTATTATATAATATGGAATGGAATAAAGATTTGATATTATGGATAATTTTGGGCGAGGTTTTTCTAATATTCATTTATTTTTATTGTAAATAAAAAAAACTAAGTAATCTACTCATCAATATACCTAGTAGTTCTTAGAATATGTGTATCAGTCGATCAATCCTTCTATCAATCATTCAATCAATTATTCAGACATCAATTTTAATCAATTAATTTATATATTTAGCTATGTACAGTCATTCAATCAATTTATTAACAAGCGTAAAATGATCCTATAGATACAAAAACCAGGAACAAACCAGATATGTACATGCATATGTATATGTATATGTCATATCAATCAGTTGCTATATATGCTTAACATAGCATATGACTCAGCGCCGCAAATTCACCGTTAAATAATTTCATAGAGGCTCATAAATATAGCCCCTGACTAAATCGATTATTGATTCAAACAAAAATCTTTTTTTTTTCTCATTAATAATACATTAAACTAAATTGCTTAGAATCTATTTAAGCTGCCTGAATGTCATTAGATTCCAAGAAATAAACAGAAGGCTTTTCTTTATTCAATTTGTAGGTCAGAACTGTTAGCCTTGGCAGTGGCAGAGACTATCTATTTCATGGTAGCAAAGTTGTCTAGCAGACTATTAAAGACGACAAGAGTGAGAGGCAGGGAAACAGACGCATAGAGTGAGAAAGGGGGACCCAGAGAGAGCGAGAGAGAGCAAGACTAGGAAGGTATAGAAAAGTGGCAAAAGCAATTACCACGTGATCAATTTTTAATAGAACCAAACAAAAGGTAAGAAAACACGTCGAAAGCAAGGTGGCCTGATATGATGTACCAAGTGCCATTAGGGCTGGTAGCGAGGCTAGTAGGCGTGGCTGGCAGTGGGTGTGGCACACCCACACTGACCACATGTGTGTGCGGAAACACGGCTAACACAGTTTCTGTTTCAGCGCCCTTTTCCGGTTGTGCATTGTGGGTTTTCCGCCAAGAATTTTCTGTGAAACGAATTGTTTGCCAGCCCGACCAGGTGTGAATAGGTGTTGGATTACAATACAGATGTATGAACATGTCTATCCATGTGTGTGTCCGTCTGTGTGTGTGTGTCGACTTCCGTGCAAGTTCCAGTCTTTTTGTGTTTGGGAAGCGATTAAAACAGGTTGAACTAAGTTGGCATATACAACATATAGGTCTGCGTTTACATGGCTCTCATCAATGTAAATTGGGCAAACGTGTGGATAAAGGCTCTCTCTAATTGGCATCTTGTAGAAGCACACTTAAATGACAACAACAGATTTCTATACAAGCAAACACTTCAAAAGTTGAAACCCTTTAGGGAATTTAAGGTTAATGCTCACTATTCTGGTTCTAATATGAAGTTTTTCACACTTTACCTCAATCCCCAACTTGAAAAGTCTAAATTCTAATTAGTCTAGACTCTAATTAACAACTTTTAATTAGCACCAGACGAACTTTGAAAGCATTTAAGTAAATCGCTTTGCCATACACAGAAAAGTCAATTATGCAGGCAAAAAGTGTTTTTGAAACCCATTCTAATCCATGTTCTCTGCTCGTTCGGCTACCTGTTGCTAAATGCATTTTCTAGTACTTTTCAATAGCAGAAAACACTCAAAGTCAGGTATGCAACAGCTGCACCCATTTGGCGTATCACATGTCACATTCGAGACACTCGGTCACAGTGAGAGCGCCTGTTCACAGTGACTGTTCACCTATTGCGCCTTTCATCTTCATTAAATGATTGTGGGCGGGGTGAAAGTTGCAAAATAAAGGAGCGTAAATTTCAATTGAATGTGGTTTAAGTGCAAAGCAGCGCGTGGCTCGAGCAACGCAACCAATGTGAGAGCAAGATACCCTTAAAGACACGACCTAGTGATATCCTAGAAAATCACAAATCGATAAAATTCACATTGAAATTAAATCATATTATTTACTGTCCCATTATACGGAAGTATTTTATTTTAAATGTTCTTTTTATATTTTTTGAGGTTCCTTTTGTATTTGATATTTAATATATCTGAAATACCCTGTATAAATCACAGCTGCAAAATATTTCTTATAAAACATATTATTTCATATCACTGTTAGTTGCGCATACCCCTTTAAAAAGATTTTAAATTATTGGGTATATGTATAGCACAATAATGTGATGTTATCGTAGTTATTATAATACGCATACGCCAGGGATGCCAGGGATAGACTCTGCCTACTCTAAGACCTCCCAGCTCTAGCTACATATGTATCACCTATATATGTATGTATATACATGTATGTATGTGTGTGTTTGTGTGGTCATATCTATATAAATCTATGTTCACTTCATTGTCACTGATTTTTTGCGCCTTTTTTTCTATTCAATAACACTTGAGCTGAATTGAGTTGCAAATGCGAAGAAATCGAGAGAATTTAGACAAGCGCAAGAAAACTCAGCACACACAC